TATTTTTTTTGAAAATAAGTCCTATTTGATGCAAGCTAGAGCAGCTGATTTTGAAATTTTGATAACAGTTTAGAGAAGCATTATTCAGGGTTTCACAACAAAATAAAAAGTTGGAAAATGCAAAGGTTTGTGGCAACAGGAGTGAAAATGCTGTCACAGGATGTGAAATTTTTTGTTTTTTTTTAAGTGCCTATAATTTTGAAAACATGAAACTCAGATTTTTTTTAATTTTTCTGATAACCAGCGTGACTCGTCTTAATAGAAACTTATCATTACAGAAGAACTCCGGTGTGTCGGCGGCCCGTGTATTATGCAGAGGAATAATAAATAAAGAAAGATATTGATTTAATTATCCTTAAATATATGTTAAGAATACCACAAGTACTGAGATAGTATAAATAATTTCCATGTAGGTATTTACTTCTGACTGAAAACGTTTAGAGGGTAGTAATTTATTCTTCAGTAAAACTTCATTAGGTTTCTAAGATTCGTAAGCATAACCCACACTTTTCTAGTAATAATATACTGTAATTACCCAGAGGGATATTAAACCTACGCAAAAATAATAATCAAAAGTGCCATTTTGTATTAAAAAATAAACTATGACGTTTTGTGCTAACATACTGAAGGAAATATTTTAAAAATTCTTTAAGTAACATTTTGGATGGGTAAGTCTCAACCAAGTATCAACAATTAATTAAAACACGTATACCGTAGACGGTCTTATGCAAAAAATACCGAATAACCTACTAACTCGTATTTTATCACGTTTGTTGTGTTTGTTTATATTTTACCGCAAGTTGCAACTTTTGAAGGTTATCCCCGAATTACTTCCATTCTCGTAGTAAGTAGAATTTGCCATATTCTGCACGCTTCTCAAAGTTTGACACTGTTCTCTGTCATTGGTTTGTGTGATTTACATCTGGCAATGTACCAGATAGTTAAATCGCTATCATCGGCCATGAAATATTTCTGGGGTTTCCGGTCATCCTCTAAGGCTTGGCGCTGATGATGAAAATCAGACCCCTTGTCCATTATCATCACATCCGCTGAAAATAGGCTTCCCCCAAAGAATGCCACAAGGCATTACATGGTATCAAGTTTGTAATTACTATAATATTATATTAAGTTTTGTACAAAATAATGTATTGTTGCATTAACGAAGACATACAAAAACTAAACAAAAACCATTACAGAAACAATGTATTTCATTGAGGCGTAAAAAATGCTTTTGAACTTGGCTTTCTTTTAATCAAAACATATTTAACTATTTAAATTTCTTTTATAAATGGTTTAAAAATTCTAACTGCGTAAATTTTATAATGACGGTAGTAATAATAGACGTAATTAACGTAAGCAATAAAAATACAACCAAATTTAAAATACAGTATTACGTATTATCGATATTAATTATTACAGCTTAAAAGTTCCCTGCCTTGATTAAAGGAGTATTTCACGCTTGGCACGCGGATTGGCAACCGCAGTGTTTTTATTTTTTTACCGACTTCATAAAGGAGGAGGTACTCAATTCGACTGTATGTTTATATGTGTTACCTCAGAACTTTTTTCTGGGCGAACCGATTTTGATGATTCTTTTTTGTCTGATAGCTGGTGCTTCTCGTATATAATCACCAAGATCTGACCAGTAGTTTTTGAGTTATCTTTAATAATGCGTATTTAATTGACTTCGAATACATTGAGTCGGTTTTACAATATTTTTAATTTTACCACTTGTTTCAGTAGTTATAAGGAAGATACTGTTGCCCATTTCACTTCCTTTCTGTCGCCTTTTACGACACCCATGTGACTATATGGGACTCGACTGCCCAGCGTGGCAGCAATGGCAAATTCCCTTTTTTTTTTTTTTTCTTTTTTTTTTAAACGTTACCCCTACACTAAGATTTTCTCTTGTATCGTAGGGGCAGTTTACAAACATAAATTGCACAAGGACAAACATCCAGACCCGGAACAACTATTTGTAGGCCATACAAATATTTGTTCCGTGCGGGATTCGAACCCGCGACCCCCAGCGCAGCCACTCATTGCTAAGCCACTGCGCCACGGAGTCGTCTTGATGAGTAACTCTATGGAGCAGACCTACGTTCAGGAGTAGACTTTGTTAGGCTGTAATAAGTTTATAGTCTACTTAATTTAAACACATTTAAAGACAAGAAGGGGTCTTTAAAGTCGTGTAAAAATGCCACCAACTTTTTTTTAAATGAAACTGAGCAATAAACGAACTTATAGTCAACCTGATGGTAAGTGGCTACTAAGGTTCATGGTCACCTGCAGCCAACTGCGAAAAGAAGGCTGCAGATGCGTTGCCACCACTGAGCACTAAGAAGCTCCACAGCCAGAGCAGTACAAGCCAGTGCTTGTTCTGCTCTATTCCAGTCTACCTACCAGTCTAACCTACTTCTGCCATCACATAGCAGTCTATATGATGGCAGAAACAGGTGAGAAGGTGATACCTGTCCAGACGGACTCCTAGTCAGAGAATTAATCATACTAGCTAGCCAAATATGCCGCTAGGGACCATGCCAGCGGGCATGGCGAACAAACTATGTTTAGTAACGTATGTGTAGTATTGATTCTGCACAATTTTTCTGGAAAGTGTTCTGGGTTATTGTTCTGGAAAGGACCAATTATGAGCTCGTACCGAATATCAGATATGTTTAAACAGAAAATTAATGATGTCATGTTCATGTGATGAGTAGCGCGAATCTTCACTGCTGACGTGGCATCGCGTCGTCGTTCTCAAATCTACTATCATCAGGAACGACTGCTCGTTTTTTACTAACACATATGATCCATGATGGTCGAAATAAAATATTTTTATTACTTATTTACTTATTTAATAAAAGTTGAAGTTTTTTTTATAGAAGAGGGGGCAAACGAGCACGCGGCTCACCTGATGTTAAGTGATTACCGCCGCCCATGATCAACCGCAACACCAGGGGAATTGCAGGTGCGTTGCCGGCCCTTTAGAAAGGAGTAAGCATATAAGGCATATATAAGTCCCACAGCTGGGTACGGGACTCCTCTGACTTCTGAGAGGGTTTTAGGCCAAGGAAGTGTCCACCGCGCTGGCAAAATGTGGCTACTTCACATGTCCACAATTTTTTTCAGACATATAGATTTCTTTACGATATTTTCCTTCACCACCCAGTACGCGGTAAATCAGCACTTACAATTGCTATTAACAATTTAATTGGTACCGGCGGAGATTGAACCCGGGTTGCTCGCGTACTGTGAAATTTACAGCGAGCGCTAAGCTTTATTTATTTAATACTTTTTTAAATACATTTGAAAAATTTACTTCGTTTAATATTAATATAATGCTGCAGTTACATTAGTAATATAGTTGTAGCACGAATGGGTCGACTCGACCGGGGAAAGACCACGCTCTCACTTTGTTTCGTATAGTGAGTTTAGAGAACCGGAGATCCTTTTTACTGAAAACGCGGTATTCCATCTTAGTCCTCACGAACGCATCTGCATTTTGATTCGTAATCGAGGATAAATGTAGATGTCTACGGGCCACAGCAACCACTTACCAACAAGTAGACTGTGTACTCGGTTGTCACCCTTATTCTATAAAAAAATCCCGCGGCGTTGCCTAGGTGGATTTCGTTTCAACATCATTAGTGTTTCATGCCTAAATTCAGGATCAACTTTTTGCTAATAGTGTGTTTGTTTGGCTTTGACTAACAAAAAGATTTTTCTCAGTAGCTTAATAACAACACGTTTACCCAGTAAATGTTTTACAATATAAATGATCTGATGACGAAAATCTTTTAATGATTTGAATACTGCGTCATCAAACAGTCCCAGAATTTGTAATTTTCTTTTTTGGCACTAAATCAATAATATTGTTGTGAATGTGAGTCATTAAACTCCATAAAATAATTTGTTGTTAACTTGACTTCAGCGTCACCTATCAGATTCTAACATAACTAATCAAACATCGCTTCGACAAAACAAATTTGCTTATTGTGTGAATATGGTGGCGGTGTAAGAATATCCACTGTCCCATATCAGTGGGTGGGTCTGAGTGGGTGTCGTAATAGGCGACAGAGGGAAACAAATCAGGAGTTAGGCGGTAGCGCCTTTCTACGACTAAAAAAAAAACTGCTGTTGCCCAACGTGGCAACTATGGCAGATATACCCCTAAGAGGAAATTAATGGGAGAGGTCTATGTTCAGCAGTGGATGTATATGCTGTAACGGTATCGGTAATGATGAATATGATCTCAATCGGTCAAGTCGTTCACAAGTTACACGATCTCTAACAGACACATGATTAATCCTATACCTTTAAATAAGCAATTCTTGTATATATATATATATATAATTGGAATCTCGGAAACGGCTCCAACGTTTTTCATAAAATTTTGTGTGCAGGGAGTTTCGGGGGCAATAAATCGATCTAGCTAGGATTTATTTTTAGAAAATGTCTTTTTGTCCGTGTTTTTAGGCAATGAAAAATTGCTACAATATCGTTAGAATGAGAAGGTAAATTTTGACGGTTTATTAATGATTACAAATAGCTTAATTGGTATATTAGGCGGTCACAAAATCGTAATACCGTGGTTCGAGCCCAGACCGACCGACCGACTTTTTTTCAATTTTTTTTTCAACTTCCTTTCTTTTTTTGAGAAAATCTTTTTTTTCGAGCCCTTTTTTTAGTATTTTTTAAAAACACGAAAATTTTAATTAAACTAATTGCACTCATGATTTTTTATTCAAATAACCAGTTCAGTTTTTTCTATTATGTCGCTAAGATTAAATAATATTATTTGTATTTCATCAGTATGTAATTTGTATCTAAATATAATTTCCAAAATACACGAATTAAAAAAAACCGAGCGAAAAATACCGAGCAAAGCTCGGTCTACCGGGTACTTATTTATAAAGATATAATTACGTTTTACATATAGATTTTTTTTCAACGTGCATTAACAACGTGCCAGTATCTGCTTTGCGCTCACCTATCTCACCATGGGTACAAGCAAATATTTTAGAAAAGGTAATGTTCAATCGTGACTTCTCAAAGGCTTTTAAAAAGAGACATAAAGTAAGATTTTTCATATAAGCTTGAATTTTATTCTATTGGTTGTTAGACGGATACTCATTTCAGTTTGAAAAACATTATCATCCCTCACTGTTCTGAAGACGTTCTGTTCTTAAATAGAATAATTCAACACGTCTTATTTTGTTGCAGGTGACATGGATGCTTCTGATATGGACGAGGAGTATTTAGATGATCCAATAACGCTATATGATTTCGAACAAATCAGATTTGGATGTCACACGCAACAAGTTAAAGGTATGTTTTATATTAACTGGAAATTATACCAAATCTCCTTGCAATCGAAGGGGGGGGGGGGCATCGCAGCGCATAAACAAAGCTGTCACTGTGATCTATATACTCATAATACTAATTCATGATGTGACATATGTTACAGCAGATACGAAAACGGTTACTCGGACAATAAGTTGTCCGTGGTGAAGTCCCAGATCTACCACCTTCACTTTAGTTATATAAAACCTTAAACGTTAAAAGTAGATGTACTCCCGCAGCGGTACCACATTGATAGTATCATACAAACTAATGACATATAAACGTGTATTTATAATAAGTAATAATAAATGTTTATTTCTTTAAAATTACATACATAAACAATATACTAGATGGGTCCTCCTAGTAAGTTTAAAAGAAAACCTGTGTCAGACGTATTTAAATGAAAACGCAAATGGTATGGGTGATGAATTGTGTTTGTGTGTGTGTGTGTGTGTGTGTGTGTGTGTGTGTGTGTGTGTGTGTGTGTGTGTGTGTGTGTGTGTGTGTGTGTGTATGTGTGTGTCAGTGTGTTAAAATTAGCCCTAAGACAATCTTATTAGTAGATGTTGTATAATGTAACTACTAAAGTAAAATCTCTTTTACAGATTCTGATAATGTTGACAAGATGGCTACTTATGACATACAATGTTCTTTATCAAAAAAATATATTTTTATTCTTCCAGGGACATTTTTTGATATCGAAAGAAACATAGAACTGTTAGAGAAGTGCCGAACTTTAAGTATTCAAATTGTTGACTGTGTCAAATATCCCTTATACTATAAATCAAAAACAACTATAAAATATGATTCCGTTTATGAAAAAAATAACGCTTTTGACAAAGTAATTGAAGTTCATCAAGAGAAGTTTCTTGATGAGTCCCTAAGTGCAGATAATATTGATGACGTACAATTTCAATTTAATTGTCCTAAAAGCACTGTGAACTGTAGTCCTAAGGTGGTTTCTAACGAAGACAAAGGGAATTTTAAGGGAAATAAAAATTTTACATCTGCAAACACAAGTATTTGCCAAAAGTTAACTTTACAGGAAATGTCAAGTGGTAATTCACATATTGATTTTAAAAAGAACAGAGGCTTAATAGGTCTGAAAATAATACGTAAAGATAGATTAGTAGATCAAGGAAAAAATTCTGCATTAGAGGAGTGTTCAACAAATAAAATGGAATTTGGTTGTCATCCGTCTTTGATTGCTAACAAAAACACAATTACACACGAAGAGGGGAATTTTTTGTTGCACGATCAAGAAAAATATTTTAAGGACAACAATATAAAAGAAAAGACGAATAACAAAAAAAATCCTAAATTAAAATTTACAGGTTGCAAAACAACGAATATTAAAGAAACTCCAAAATATGATATATATTTTGATAAAAATAAATGTATTGAAAGTAAAAAAATAATACAAGAGACAAAAGAAACTTTCATTGCAAATAGCGTTAAGCAACATAATAAACCAATCGAAGTCAAGGAAGTAAGGTCTAAGTCACCAATTTTTCCTTGTAAAAGCATAAAAACATGTCAAAATACCACAAATACTAAAGAAGAATTATTAAAAAGTCCTAATAAGTATAACGAAAATTTTTATAATAGCAACATATTAAACAAAAACCAAAAAGATAACTTAAAGTATTTTGATAAATCACCAAAGAAGCAAAATAATCTAGAAAAGTCTCAACAAAGACAAGAAAAATACCATGAAATAGCAATTGAATTCCAATCAAATATTACTCCCAAAAATATCAATAATCATTTATCATTTAATGAACGCCGAATGAGAAATGAGGAATATAATTTATCTAATGTTGCCAAATCAATTGACAAAGAGTGTGTGTTGTTAAATCAACAAGAGCAAGATGTATTTCAGGAACATTCAAGATTAAATAATGTTGTTAGAAAACTCAATAAAATGAATATTATGCACGAAAATAAAAATAATAAAAACAAAATTAATAATATAGAACTAAAAAATCAAGTGAAATGTTATACTAATTCTCTTGAAAAGGGATTGCAAATTAAGAATGAAGTTATTTCCGGTGAAATTCACACGAATGTAAAGAATAATATGCCTTTAACAGGTCATCAGAAAATCTTAGTCAATGCAATACCATCTACTCCACAGAGACATCACATATACAATAATATTTCGAGTAATTGTTCATTAGGTGTAAGCGATGGGACCTTAATGCAGTCAGATAACAGTGCTTATATTCCAACTTCTCAGGTTCAATTTTTACCGACATTAGGGTCAATAAAAGCTGTCAGACACCAAATACCTCATAGACATTTTCGTATTCAACCTGTCTCTGATATTTTGCTCAGTTCTTTGAAGATACAGAATCAAAGTATCCCTTATCCACATTTGATAAGACGAAAAAAATTTGGGAAGAAATATATACTAGGCATGTCTAAAGCACCTGAGTTACAACTCACAGATAAAAGTGACGACAGCGACGCAAATACTTTTAAAAGAATCGTCGAGGGATCGGACGGTATTGCTAAAATAAACTCCAAACTTTTAACAGGTGTGGAAAAAATAAAGGAAATAAAAAGAGATGCATCGAGTGTGCTCAAAATAAATCATAATAAAGGCTCAAGACAAATAAAGCCAACCAAAGGCTACTCTGCACCAATTTTACCAATTCCAACCTTTGATTTATTTTTTACAGAAATAGTTGCATCTAAGGGTCAAGCTGTAAGTGAAAGTAAAGACATTCAAGAAGATAAAAATGTCAGTCTCCTGGAACGACCGCCAAAGAGCTCACAGCTCAGTGCTCCTTTAAGGAAAAGGAAATTAGATATTACGACTATAAGCGAAAACCAGTCGAAGAAGAAAATTTCTTTGAATGAATATAATAGAGTAAAAGTAAAAAATATGACGCGGTAAAAGAAGGTAATTTATGTATATGAGTTTGTGTATTACTTCAGACATCAATAAGTAGATTAAGCAATTTACAGAATTTCATTATAAGAGGCTTCTTTATATTTAGTAATTTTTTTTAATAGGCCTAAGCATTTTGCAATATTATAATTTTGAAGAATGGTATTGTTTTTCTCGATCGATGGTCAGTAAAATTATTAGTTTGTGAGGAAACTTTAGATTTATTTTAAAATGCAATGAATATAAGTTTATTTTCACTAATGTTAATTTAGAATTCCTTTTGGAATTTGATTTTTTTAGAATAAAAGATCATTTAGGTTTTTTTTGTTATTTACTCAGTTAACTACATTTATGTAAGTTTCGTTTTGTTTCGCATAAAAAGGTTTTTTTTCAATATTTTTGGCTTAAGCCTAATGAATTCGTTGAAAGCATCAAAATCTATTGTTTTTGCAATTCAGCGTTCTTTTTTATCATTTGTTATGTATTTTATAATTAAATGTTTTGTTTATATATTTATTATTATTTAATTATTATCATAACAGCCCCTCACAAGTCCAGTACTGAACACTACCCTCCATGCCACAAAGCACGGTCCTGAGCCACCTGCGTCCAACGATATACTGCATGTCTTACCAGGTCGTCCTACGACCCACACTTCGTGTATAGGTACGAGGCTGTCACTCGAGAACATTTCCTCTCCATCGGTTGCCGGTTCTTCGAACTGTATGGCTGGCCCATTTTTACTTCAGCTTACTAATTCATTCGGTTATGTCTGTTACTTAGGTTCTTCTGCGGATATTCTCGTTTTTAAATCTATTACGCAAAGAAGCCTCGAGCATAGTCCTCTCCATAGCTCGTTGAGCAACTTTGAGCTTCCTCACACAGCCAGCAGTGAAGGAAATCACATTTCAGAACCATATCAAGTAATAAGTTTTAAGTAGATTTTTGAAAGAAAAAAAGTGACTGAGCATGTCGAATATATAAAGGCAAGGAGTTCCAATAACTATAGCTGTAACCGAAAATGATTATTGAAGAAGGAGGACAAATGTGCTGGAATACGAAACAAAAGATTGTTACTGGAACGAAGATGACAATAGTGAAGTGAGGAGAGGAATAATAATCACAAGTCAGCACAAGCGACCCCCACTTCTTATACAATCTTGTTTTGAAGTTTTGAGGTATGCCTGACGAGAAGATGTGAGTAAAAGCTGTCCAGCCGAGTTGGATCCGTTGATTGACCTCTCGGTCGAAGTTGGATTTACCCAGGTGGACTATACGTCCCAGGTAAACATACTTGTCAACAATTTCGAGCTTAGTGCTCTCAACAACTACCGGCATAGGCGTGACGTGGACGTTATACATGATCTTTGTTTTATCCATGTTCATCTTAACACCTATCTATCGGATATCATTGAGAATAGTATTTAGATCGACGGCAAAGCGAAGGTAAATATGGTACTCACAATTAATGTTGACACTATATCCTTTCCAATCCAGTAGCTTGAAAACGTCTTCCAATGAAGCGATGAAGTTTCTGGGATATGACGTCAACCTATCTTACAACTCTCTGCAGTTGGAAAGGTTTTGTTCTCTGGTTCTGTACTCGGACAGTTACTGTACAAACACTGCAGCCCTTCGATGTATCAAAGATCAACATGGCAGCGATGAAGGGATCGTAGCACCGCCTAAATTTCAAGTAGTCCCACTATGGAGGGCGAAAATAAAGAACTTCTGAAGGACTTCAAGTACTGGTTTTCGGATCGCTTCTTTACAAACTGTTTGAAGTTGAGTAAATCCCACTGCATGCATTTTGAGATATGTCTGTTCAGTTGCCTGTATGCCGTTATATCTGCTGAAGTCTACAGCTTAATTTATCGTTTAACAACCATGAAATTGAGAGTGTGATCGGAGATTTTTTGGGTTCTTCTGCGACGGTTCTTGCAGTACTTAGCTCCGATCGCATGGACTGCTATTTCCACTGAGCTTATTTTTCGTCAGTGCTAAATGTAGAGGAAAAGTCAAATCGGCACATGTTTATTTTAGTTTTAGTCAATCTATATTGACCGGATTTGAATAATGTTTAATGTATTATTGCAAATTTTTGTTTTGTTTGATGAAAATTTCCACACCAAGCGGGTCGGTATTGTTCCGTTTTCGTTTGAAGTCTTTAAATCTGCACACAAGCAGTTTGATGATACATGTCAGTCTTTATAATAAAACGTGGTTTATTTATAGTCTTGGATAAAACGTAGTGATTATATAATCTTTTGTCGCGGGTGTCTCGGACTTAATTAAGACCTTTTGTCACCATAGACTTATCTAAGTCTATGGTGACAAAAGGAGAACCTTAGAGTATACTGGTTTCCCCCCCCGAACGGGTTCCCGCCTTGTCGTGGCGGGGGGCTTAGTAGCCGTGGCTTGGTCTCCCACGGTGAACAAAGAGGAACCCACGTGGCTGGCCCGAGGTGAAGGGCCGGCCTGAGGTGGCCACTCCGAGTGGGCTTGGGGAGCCCACTTCGGATGTGTGCTGGTGGACTGCAGCGAGTGGGGACTCGCGCACCCTCTACCGCTGCAGCCGAGGTGGAGTCGCGGAGGAAGAGGAGTGTTGGTATGGCGATGCGCCACTCGCCCTATCCTTCGCGACTCAAACGGGGCCGCACCGTTGATGCGGTGGTGGTGGGGCTGCGGGGGGAGAGGATTGTCGGTATTGCGAGGCGCCGCTCTCCCTACCCTCCGCAGCCGAATCTTGGTTGGCGGCGGAGCCATAGACCAGATCCGCCGCTGGGGTCGGGAAGGCTAGTACTTCTAAGTGCTCGTTTTTCCTGGCCCCATGGCCTTTGTACATCGGACGTGGGGGCGTCTGTTGCACAGACGTAGTTGGAGGCCGTGGAGGAAGGCGCGCCATGTGTTCTGGTGCGCCTTACCTGGGAAGGAGAACGGGGAGGAATTTTCCTCTCCCGAAGAGGTGCTGCCATGGGGCGGCAGGCGCTAGTAGGGCCGCGGAAGTGTGCGAAAGCGTTCCCGTAGCCCTGCCAATATGCGACAAAGGTGGAACACCATGGGGTTTTAGTCGGTGCGAGTCCGACATAACCCGTCCTTGCCCCCGCGAGGCGGGTATGCGTAGGCATTTCCCCATGCAAAAAAAAAAAGAGTATACTGGTTTATCACAAAGACGTCCCTTAGCTGCAGAACTTACAGTCTTGAGAAATTCTACTACTGTCAAATTTCATACTTTACCTTTTTATTGAAATGATTTATTTATTGCCTTAAAACAAGTAAGTTTTTATAATATTGCTGGGTAAAGTCTTTTAAGTAAATAGACACCTGTAGTGTTCTGTAGTACAATTATATTACTACCTTAAATCAACGTGGTTAAAACGTTGTAGAGCCATATGGGCAGCTATATTAGTAATAAAGTTTCAGTACGAATGGGTCGGCTTGACCGGGTATTAAGGACCACGCTCTCACAGAATACCAGTGTAAGATAGCAGCTTAATGCTGCTGTGTGTCGTATGGTGAGTGTAGGGAACCGGAGACCATTTTTACTGGAAACGAGGCATTCCATTTTAGCCCTCACGGGTGACAACGCATCTGCATTTTGATTCATAATCAAGGGTAGATGTAGATGTCTATGTTGCCGCTCCTTTGTTACCCTTATCTTATAAAAAAATAATCTTTGGAAGTTCACTGCTATAAATTAATTTACTGGAGGTTATCAGATTAGGATTATACATTGTGTAAACAAGATCACTTACCGTCACCTTTCGGAAGCTATGACATCTTTCTGGTATTTTCCATATACGTATCCCTCAGGATGCTTGATTCCCGTTACGTCGCCACCACGTAGCTATATCTATGTAACATTTGTAAGATTGTTATCTTACGACACATCTTCTAGTCATGAATTCGTCAAGTCCTCTAGAGATCTAATGCGTGTTGCTAATGCAATAGAATTGTGACGTGCTCCTGCACTGCTACTCGTATGTGGAAGGTTCCTCTATTTATGGTGGGCTATTTTTGGAGTTTCTCAACGTGACAGACATCATAATGCGGATATTCGAAATAGATACACAGTAAACGATCTTGTCAAATGGAGCAGTAAGCAGAAGTAGTAATGAGTCGATCATATAGCTCTTAACGACCTATGGGAAAGAAAATTGTTCTTGATGGGCAGCCTAGTACAGGTAAGAAAAGTTTTGGGTGGCCACTAGATTCAGTGACCACCGGGTAAGTAATGAAATAAGTCAGTGGATTCAGGTGGGTTTTTTTTTCGCCCGAAGCAATTAAAGGCAACCCTCCGGTAACGGGGGAGGGAGGTAGTGAATGCACACAGAATACTACGCAGCCAGCTGCATGAAGACTTTTACTCACTAAATACCACCTTTTGAGATTTGCTTAACGATCTGACGAGAGATCTTTAAGCCGTAAACTGACGCCCTCCTTAGCTGAAAGGAGAGTGCACGTGGGTTACGACCTTGCTTTATATACTTACTTAAGGAAAGCCGCCTACGTTTAGTTATGAAGCATTCGATGATGATGCTGGTGATGTTTTTCGGTATGCATATAATTAACACTTTCACTGTATAACCTAAAATAAAAATATAAAAACAGTTATCTATGTTATTCTTCGCTAGGTTGAATAAACTAAATAATTTCTATTAGTGCAAAGTAACAGAAGCGTTTTCGCTAACAATTCTTGCTTCTTAAGTATAATTAGGGGGCCTACAATTAGTGTAAGGTCTCGTCGCAATAAATTTGCGGGATAAGCCGCGTTTACTGGGATTAATTTCCTGTGAGAGTTAGCGGAGCGCTTTATCTTTTGAGTTGGCGTGGATTTCGCAGAAGTAAACACGGCAGTACAAGTAATGTCATATGCCTATGCTTACATAAGTTCAATTAAAGTATTTAAAAAAGTAAGGCAGTTTTTCAGCCTGGTAGTTTTAAACGTAGTAAAGCCATGCTACAGCCATATTATAGTTGTAGTACAAATAGTACGACACGACCGG